AGCATCCAGTAGAGTTTTATGGCCTTGACCCTTACACACAGCGATTGTTCCAGATTGTTTGAATCTTTTGATGATGTTATGCACGGTTGATGATGATAACTTAAAAGTCTTTGCTATTTTACGCCGGGTAACACCATTCTGGTATTGCTGCACTATCTTTCTGCGCAACAATGGTGGAATTGGTGATCCTCTTACCATCTTGGCTTCAGAGAGACACTGACACTCTGAGAAGCTCTTTTTATACCCAATCATGTTGTCAGTTGACCTAATTAGTGTTAATTGGTCTTCCAGCTGTTCGTTATATGCTCAATTTCCTTTTTCCAGCCACTTATTGCTACTTGTCCCAACTTTTTTGGGATTTGTTGACGCCATGAAATTTTGAAACAACATATTTTTCCCTTAAAATGATACATTCTCTCAGTTTAAACTTTTGATCTGTGATTTGTGTTCTATTCTGAATAAAATATTAGATGTTGGCACCTCCACATCATTGCATTCAGTTTTTATTCACAATTTGTTTAGTGTCCCAACTTTTTTGGAATCCGGTTTGTATCTTTTAGGATGGATTAAAGTTCTGCTACTAGTTTTTAAGGCCCTAAATGACCTTAGAGCTCTGCTTATATCACAGAATGTCTGCCTGTGTTCCAGCATGAGATCTTAGATCTGCAGATACTGACCTTCTACAAACACCTTGCAGACTTTTTCAGTTATTATGCTTCTAAATTGTGGAACAGTCAAGTTCAGTTCACTCATTTAAGAAACATTTGAAAATGTGTCTCTTTAACTTAGCATTCAGTTAAAATTCTACGTCTCTTTGGTATTTATATATTTTTAAATTTGATCTGTGTCATTTTCTTATGATTTTAAATGAATACTCATAGTTTTTTCCATTATTGTTCAAATTTATCATCTCTAAAGCATTTTGAGCTGCCATCAGTATGAGAAGTGCTCTATAAATAAAAGTTGTTGTTATTATTATTATTATTATTATTATTATTATTAACATAGGCTAATACTGCAGCTGTATGGCTATTGTATCTTGAAACAGTTGTACTGATGTTATTGAGCAGGTGTGCTCGACTCTAATCCTGCATCGAAACTGCACGGTTTGGTGATTTCTCTGCTCTAACAGACCCACTGTGAACCCCACACATCTGCTTGTCACTGTTTAGCATCTGCTTTTAATGTGTTTGACGAGAGATTCAGTTAAATGAGGAAAATCACAAAATTAGTCAATTCCCTGTATTTGTTCAATGTAAGTGGCTGAAAGTGGTGTGGTTGCTAGAGACTTTGTGTTGGGTAAGATGCCAGAGTCCTTACAGGAAAGTCTGTCCACTCAGTGGCCATCTTGGCAACATCCCCAGGCAGTTATTTCCACTCCTACAAGACCAGACTCCTGTCTCTTTGAATGGGGAAAGCCGTATAAATCAACCAGTCACTTTAAGTACACCTACTTACATCTACACCATTTTATCAGCTCCACTTTCTATAAATGTGCACTTTAGTTCTACAATTACAGAGTGTAGTCCATCTGTTTCTCTGCATACTTTGTTAGCCCCTTTCACTCTGTTCTTTAATGGTCAGGACCCCCACAGGACCACCACAGAGAAGGTACTATTTGGGTGTTGGATCAGTAACACTGACGTGGTGGTTGTGTGTTAATGTGTGTTGTGCTGGTCTGAGTGGATCAGACACAGCAGTGCTGCTGGAGTTTTTAAACACTGTGTCCACTCACTGTCCACTCTATTGGACACTCCTACATTGTCAGTCCACCTTGTAGATGTAAAGTCAGAGATGATAGCTCATCTGCTGCTGCACAGTTTATGTTGGTCATCCTCTAGTCTTTCATCAGTGGTCACAGGACGCTGCCCACAGGACGCTGTTGGCTAGATATTTTTGGTTGGTGGACTATTCTCAGTCCAGCAGTGACACTGAGGTATTTAAAAACTCCAGCAGCACTGCTGTGTCTGATCCACTCAGACCAGCGCAACACACACTAACACACCACCACCACGTCAGTGTTACTGCAGTGCTGAGAATGATCCACCACCCAAATAGTACCTGCTCTGTGAGGGTCCATGGGGGTCCTAACCCCTGAAGAACAGGGTAAAAGGGGACTAATAAAGTATGCAGAGAAACAGATGGACTACAGTCTGTAATTGTAGAACTACAAAGTGCACCTATATAGTAAGTGGAGCTGATAAAATGGACAATGAGCGTAGAAACAAGGAGGTGGTCATAATGTTATGCCTGATCGGTGTATTAGAATATATTTTATGCATACAAACTGCCCTGTGGTTTACATGTTTCAAAAGGGTGCTATATTACAGCCACCAAGAGAGTAATTAATAATACAGGTGTGAATTATGTGGAATTATGACACAACTCAGTAGCCAAGAACACTTACTGTGAAAAAGTTATGTTCAGTCTTCAAGGTGAATCTTGAGAAATTTCTCTCTGGCTGATGTCAAAATTAGCAGGTGACATTGCTGTGGGAACATAATATTACCAAAAGTACCTTCTACTTAAACTGGTTTAACTACATATAAAATGTATGTTAGGCTGTGCTTTGCTCTCCCATAGGTCTGATGCAGCTTGTTAAGTGATTGAAGAACTAAATAAAAAACACCTGGCATTGATTGGACAAACCTGACTCAATCACCAAACACAAGCTGTGCCCAAAACTCTATACTATATTGTATTAAACATAGTACTAATGAATGTACTACCGATGGTGGTGTAATATTTAGTATAGGAGTATGTGGCTGGATGCAGCCAAAGATTCCTGGCATGGTCAGTGAGTGCAAATATGCTCTAAGTGGAGTCCCATATCGGGTGCAGCTGTTGGGTGTAAAAGAATGTTTAAAACCTAGAATGAGGAAGTGAAATAGGAAGAATATTCACAAAAAGAAACTATCTGGTGTTGGTAGCAGTCAGACTGCCATCATGGATTCCTGGTAAAGCATAGAGAGGTTAAGTAAAGCAGGAGCAGAAAGACCATCAAGAAAAGACATAATTTGGGCCAGATTTGTCCAGCATGGAAAGCAGTTTTTTGTACAGTGTTTCTCAACTGCAGTCCTTGGGACCTGCAGTCCCGTACAGTTCCAGCTATTCCCTACCCAATCTACACACTTAAAAATGATGGTTCTTCAAGAGTTGTTTAGTAAAGGAAATAGTTCTGTATAGAACTATGAACACTCAGTGAACCTTTTGCATGATTAAAGGGTTCTTGCATCGTGAAAGCGTTCTTCAGATTGGCGGAGAATGTGCTGTAGATGGTTCTATATAGAGCCTTTTTGAAAAGGGTTCTATATAGCACCAAAAAAGGTTCTTCTCTTGTTATGATGTCAAGCTTGTAATAATAGAAGAACCCTTTTTGTGATATATAGAACCCTTTTCAAAAAGGTTCTATATAGAACCATCTACAGCACATTCTCCATCAATCTGAAGAACGCTTTCACGATGCAAGAACCCTTTAATCATGCAAAGGGTTCTTTGAGTGTTCATGGCTCTATACAGAACTGTTTTCTTTACTAAAGAACCCTTAAAGAACTGTTATTTTTTAGTTGAATGAGGTGGATGAGGTGTGTTGATGGAGGAAATAGCTAGAACTGTGCTAGGTAGTGACTGAAGTCGAGAAACACTGCTTTGAAAACCTGATAAAGTGAGAAAGTGGTGTGTGGCAGAAATCAAGACTGAAAGACGTCCTACAAAAAAACTGATAAATACTCTTCCGCTGCGTTTACGTTGCTGCAGCCCGGCAGGGCAGCACAACAGAGCCTGTGTATTTTCTATAGGAAGTGATGGGACCTTTACACACAGTCGCGCGGTGCGTGTCTGGGGGATGCAATGTGTTCAAAAAAGTTGAGCAAAACTTTATGGAACTTAATCCAGCCAGTGTAATGTAGGAGGCAGGTGGGGTTGAGTCTACAGCTCAAGGCATGAAACATGACACGTACCTGTAAGATCACCTTTACAGACGTCAGGTATATTTCACACATGAATTGTGTGAAAACCATGTGTGAACAAGTGAGCCCTTATAACGAACAGCATATCGCTGTTATCAGAAGAAAACCTTCTCTCCAAAATGGTAACTTTACAGGAGAAGGAAAAAACGTACTGTACTTTTAACGTAAGTCAATGTAACCAGACTTTAATTTTAGGTCATTTCTTGTAGTCTATTCATGAAATTTACATACAATGTAAAGGGTAACTTACAATACAATGTAAAGGGTATTTTCAAATTATGTAAAAAACTGAAAAACGTCAAAAATGGAGATACAAGGTTTTCTTCCGACAGCAGCGACACATTTCTTATAAAAAATCATATAAGCATGGTATCGCATTATTCAATGCATACAGTAAAAGGGTCAGTAAAATGTGGCTTTTCAATCTAAATAGTTGAACAAAATAAAACAGAAAACAAAACACAATCCAAAAAAGGGTAGAATGGTTAATTGGTAGTTTTTCGTTGGAAGGGATCAAGAAATCACATTTATTTCACATGAGAGCACATTTATGGAGTATGCAAAAAACATGTTTATCCACATGAAATTCATGTTAGTGTACTTCATATTGTGTACTTCATATTAAAAGTTAATGTATACTGTATGCACTTGTACCATTAAAGTTCAAATTCTGAGTGGGAAGATGATTTGTTGGATGTTAATATAGTGAAATCACTGATATTGACTGCAAGTCGTCTCCAACAGTGGTAGGAAAGGGGAGCCAGCAACCAGAAGGTTATGAGCTCAAATCCTAGGACTGACTAGTTATTCCTGGGTGTGTCTTTGGTCAAGATACCTTTTTGGAGGAGCAGTGACCATTACAAAAAGTAATGTTTAAGCGGTTCTTTTTGCTACCTGTATGTATATATAAACATATAATGTGTTTAGGAATCGCCAAACTTTGCTGGACTCAAGCCAACTAAGACCAGAACAGTGCACCCCTGTTGTGAAACTATCGCTGCTGTAGTGCTTAACGTGCTGTCTTTTCCACAGTTTTTGCAGGAGATCCGGAACCGCACCATAAGGGCCATGTGCGGCCAGAGGAACACGCCCCACAGCGTGTGGTCCCTCAGCCCCCTGCAGAGGAAGACCCTGCTGCAGCACATCCTGGTGAACGATGAGCACCGCTTCCTCTACTGCTACGTGCCCAAGGTGGCCTGCTCCAACTGGAAGCGGGTGCTGAAGGTGCTGAGCGGTGCGCTGGCGCATGTAGACGTCAAGGGGAGGATGGACCACCATGCGGACCTCGTCTTCTTGTCCAGCTTCTCGCCGGAAGAGATCCGGCACCGGCTGCGGCACTACTTCAAGTTCACATTTGTGCGTGAGCCCATGGCACGTCTGCTTTCCGCCTACCGCAACAAGTTTGGCGAGATCAAAGCGTACCAGCGCAAGTACGGCGCTGAGATTGTGCGGAGGTACCGCAAAGGGCACGCGAAGGACGGGAGGATGGCGGCAGGTGATGATGTGACGTTCACCGAGTTTGTGCGCTACCTGCTGGACGAGGATGCAGAGCGCATGAATGAGCACTGGATGCCCATTCATAACCTCTGCCAGCCGTGCGCCGTGGAGTATGACTTCATAGGCTCGTACGAGCAGCTGGAGAGCGACGCGGCGTACGTTTTGGAGCGCGTGGGGGCGCCATCGCACGTGCGCTTCCCTGAACGCCAAACATGGTACAAGCCTGTTACCAAGGAAACTCTGCATTATTACCTGTGCAGCGTCCCTCAGAAGCTGCTGCGGGAACTTTTGCAGAAGTACATTCTAGACTTCTCCTTCTTCGGCTACTCGCTGCCCAACATAACCACTGAGTACTGTCGACACTAGCAAACACTTGACCGGGGCTGTTCCTATTGTACAGCTATATTAAGCCCTTTTGCTTTCGTATTCTATGGAAGTTACAATATTTTAGTATTTTTTTCAGATGTTTTCCTTGTACAGAATTGGGGATATGTTTGATTACAGCACATGAGAGCTATTTAAGTTGTAACCACTATTTAGAACTGGAATTACTGCACATCTGTAGAAAGAGGCAAGGTTACTAACAAGTGAAATCTATTTTTATGTACTAAGTAATAATATTGCTACATATGGGGAGAAATATTATACTGTGCTGGGCACAAAGCTGTGATTTTACACAAGCACAAGATTAGCTCTGCATTTCAATACTGTTTTAACGTGTCCTTGTAGAATTCCCCTCACAGCGGAAGTGTTCAAGTGGCCACTTGCAGGACAAGGGGAGAAGAAGACAATGAGAAGCATGTTTTTTTCCAATGGAAGTGATTTTCTTGTCAGTTTGCACAATATGGGTCAGCCTCTCAGAGGGGGGTTAAGCCTAGGTCTGGACTACCCCAAATTCTGAATGGAGATCCTCCATTAAAAGGAAATTCCAGGACAAGGCTTAATCCCTGACCAGGAAACCGACCCTGTGGTCTAGTTTTGTGGACATGGATTAAGCCTAGTCCATGACCAAATTGTAATGTCAGCGGTGATTTATCATTGAAAAGCCTTTTTAGTCTAGGTTTAGCTTAATCTGGCTTGCCGGAAACCAGTCCTATAAGTTGGCTTCAAACGGTGTGAAGTTGTACTGGCGAGTGACTTTAATTACATCAGCAGTCGTATAAAACAGATAGAGTAGTTCACTATATAGGGCTCAAATGTTTTTATGAAGTATTTTATTGTAATTTACTATATAGAGCCCAAATGTTTTATTAAGTATTTGTAATATAAACTATTTTAGTGCACCAGCATACACTTCTAAGCAGCTTTGTCTGCCATTTTTATTTGAAGTTTGAAAAGGACACACAGTTGGATCGTAGTGATTTGCTCCAGTCATCTCTGTGAAGTTTTGCTCCTGCAGGCTCCATTTGTTATCTTGCTCCCTTGCCCCTCTAAGGGGTCATCCAACAATCTGCATTTGAGCTAATATAGCCTGTGTGTCAAAATACTGCAAGATAATCAATTTTTAAATCCCTTGAGTGTTAGCTGAGCTAGCTAGTAAACAGCGACTAGGCTGTCACCATGACATCAGTACAATTTCACTTCTCTACAAACACTTAATATCAGGCATCGGCTTTATTGGTAGCGCACCCACAACCCTGCAGCATATCGTAAAGCTCTGAAAGTAAGAAGGCTGGGCTTCGTAACTCGGACAAAAGCCGAGCATTTTGAGGGTAAAGCAGGCTAAAATAAAACACTAATAGTTACGTTTTTCTGAATTTGTATTTCAGTGTTTCCTCAGTAACTAAACACATATAGCATTATTAAAGTTTATTTCTGGGGATCCCACTAATTTTGATTTTGAGGCTTCCCAGGGTCCAAATGGTTCATTAGGGGGTCCCCAAGGATACCATGTATTTTATTCCTTGAATAGAGTAGTGGAGCGACCCTTTAGATGGCGTCAGGGATTCTCCTAAGGTCAAATGGTGAGGTCAGAGTGGAGTGAGGATAGTAAATACAGTACTGAAACAGAGGGTCAGACATTCTATCATAGTTTTTTTTAAATGTCATTTATATAACTCTTAGGTTTTTTTCTTTATTCATACTTTTCAGAGATGTAAAAGCCCATACTCTGCATTTTTCGTTTATTTTATTTCTTCCCCCAAAGTCACCTTTTAGGTCAACTTTTTATTGTCAGTGTTTTGTGTGTCTGTGAGGAAGAAAGTTGTCCACTTTTGTATGACCATTGTCTAACCTTTCATTATCTCTTAAACACGCTGTTTATGGTACTGTGCCTTTAAGCTTGATGTATGTGAATGATCTCTGTTCTGATTGGCTGCCCTGTACTGTACCTCAATCCAAAAGCAGTCAGGGCTGGAACACTCATTATTACTTTAATGTGAACGGGCGGGGCTAAACTGCTGTAGGCTGAATAGGCATATATATATATATAAGTAAACTTGTTTTACAGCTTTGTTTTGGTATGTGGACTGTATGGACTGAGGTGTGAATGGTACATTTTGAAACTTATAGAAACTGATAGAGTTTACATACTACATCAGTACAGCCTCTATGATGACATTTTTAAGCTGTTTCTGTCTGAAGTAGGGAAAACCCTTAATATACACCGATCAGGCATAACATTATGACCACCTCTTTGTTTCTACGCTCATTGTCCATTTTATCAGCTCCACTAACTATATAGGTGCACTTTGTAGTTCTACAATTAGAACGACAAGTTATTTCCACTCCTACAAGACCAGACTCCTGTCTCTTTGAATGGGGAAAGCCGTATAAATCAACCAGTCACTTTAAGTACACCTACTTACATCTACACTCTATTTTATCAGCTCCACTTTCCATAAAGGTGTATTTTGGAGTTCTACAATTACAGACTGTAGTCCATCTGTTTCTCTGCATACTTTGTTAGCCCCCTTTTACCCTGGATATTTTTGGCTGGTGGACTATTCTGAGTCCAGCAGTGACACTGAGGTGTTTAAAAACTCCAGCAGCACTGCTGTGTCTGATCCACTCAGACCAGCGCAACACACACTAACACACCACCACCACGTCAGTGTTACTGCAGTGCTGAGAATGATCCACCTCCCAAATAGTACCTGCTCTGTGAGGGTCCATGGGGGTCCTGACCACTGAAGAACAGGGTAAAAGGGTAACAAAAAGTATGCAGAGAAACAGATGGACTACAGTCTGTAACTGTAGAACTACAAAGTGCACCTATATAATAAGTGGAGTTGATAAAATGGAAAATGAGCGTAGAAACAAGGAGGTGGTCATAATGTTACGCCTGGTCGGTGTATGTTAGTGCAATGAAATGCATTGTTGGGTGTGTTCCGTTTCCCGGGGTCTTTAAGCAGTACCGTTATTTTCCCTACACACTTGAGCACGGGATGTCTGTTAAGGGAACTACAGCTGATGAATAACTTCATTCAAAAATGTCCTGCAGCATCACAAACACGAAGCAACATCCATCTTCAAGAGACATGCAGTGACTTATGGGTAAACTTCCTGTGAACTGATAAACTGTTGTTCACTATTCCCCGTGCAGTTTGAAGTTTCCTTTGCAATGGAAGCTGAAGGGCTTAGAATCAACGTTAAAATGTCTGAATACCCTGTGCAGTCCACTTTGCAGGGAACTACTAGGGTGACTGGAATGCACTCCAAGCCTTATTTAACCAGTTGCTAGATTTCCAAGGCACTTATTCCACATCACTACCTGAGTACAGATGAATAAACTCTGCCTTTCCAAAAAGCCCTGGTTTAGGAAAGGAGGTGTCAGAAGACAAATTAACACCCTGAACTTCCTCTGCAGCAGTCTGCCCTAGATAAGTGGGAGATAAAAGCTTGACAGTACAGCATGCATTTTAAGCCTTTAAATGCACTATGACTTGAAAAAATAGTCCATGATAGATGCAAGTTAGTGAAGTTAGTGCAAAGTCTAGTATAATCTCATTTGGCTGTGTTAGCCTTCATTCATTATTAGTAAGCTTGGCATTTCTGGATTTTGTGTTCCTTTAAGGCTAAAACTCACAAACATCCTATTTGCCAACTTAAAACTAAAGAGGCCCTGATTAGTAAAGGTCTTCTGTGTTTAAAAAGTTATTGTATTTTCTTAAATTGTTTTTCTATGTTTAATAAACAATGTATTATTGTTCAGATACCACTGTTGGAAACTAGGTATATGTTTATTTGAATGAATAAGTTAATAATTCAAGTAAACAACACATCATGTGGAACGCACAACACAGACATGGAACATTATTAACATGTTTGGATGTTCAGAGCAGTGGCTTCTCTGTGTAACATTGACAGACCTGAGTACAATGGTCATATCCCATTTTCACAGTATTGTTTGGTCACTTTCACAGCCAGTTCCTTTAAAAGCGCTCGAGCATCTCTAAAAGTAACACTTCATATAAAAATACTGCAATTTTAAAAAACGTCACAGGAGATAAATGCTACAAATGCTAAAAAAAATGCCTTGTTTTCCCTATACAAAGTACAAAAATACATAAATTAATAAACATAAAAATATTCATATCTGACACACAACACAGAATTAATTTCCTTCAAGTTATTAAGAAAATCATTATTACATAAACAATGTGCTTTTCTGTTTGGCTTTGGTGGCATGATCACACTTGTCCCTGTGAAGAAATGGTGTATTTTCAAAGGGTGAAGGGTGGAACCTTCTAGATAGTGAGAAAGACTTCTGTTTTGATTTTTGTCCAAGTCAGAATGTATGGGAGTGCCTACCTTGAGGCAAAAGCAGTGTTATGTGGGTTAATAAAGCTAATTTAGCTGTGCCACTGAGAATTGAAGACAACAGATTCAGGTACAAAATACTGAAAATGAACTCTCATACAGAAGTATACATATCATTTGAGATGAGAGGGACTGCCAACCGTAAGCTTTTCTGGCAAGAACTGCCACAGACGTCCAACTTCCTCAGTTCTTCCAGCCTTATTTCTTCTCTAGTCCTTAAAGCTCACACTTCTGAAATAAAGCGCAGTTAAAGGAAAGATGTAATGAGCAAGAGAATTTAGGGCTGCAGCAAATTAGTACCTCAGTAAATAACTAGCCTTCCACTTTCATACAACCACAACCAGGCCCAGTCTTGGTAAAGGTAGACGGCGGCCTAGGGCCCCCACGAGCCAAGGGCCCCACATGCACACACTCGCTTTATGGCCAAAAGTATGTGGACACCACTGCGAATTACTGAGTTTATGTGTTTTAGCCACACCCACTGCTAACAGGTGTATAAAATCAAGCACACAGCTTTGCAGTCTTCATAGACAAACACTGGCTATATAATGGGCTGTACTGATGAGCTCAGTGAGTTCGTAAACTTTCTGCCCTGCTAAATCTGCCCCACCATGAGTAGACCAGGCAAACTTACAAAGCAGGGCCGCTGAGTGCTGAAGCATGTAACGTGTAAAAATCGCCAATCCCGTTTTATGACTCACTACAGAGTTCCATATTGCCTCTGTGAGCAACATCAGCATGAGCGCTGTGTGTCTGGAGCTCTATGAAATGGGTTTCCGTGGCTGAGCAGCTGCACACAAGCCTAAGACCACTATGCGCTCCGCCAAGTGTCGGCTGGAGTGGTGTAAAGTATGCCGCCACTGTACTGCAACAGTGGAAACGTGTTCTCTGGAGTGATGAATCATGCTTTACTATCCTGAAGAATCTGGGTCTGACAGATGTCAGGAGAACGCTATCTACCCGAATACATAGTGCAAACAGCAACAGAGGAGAAATAACCGTCTGGGGCTGTTTTTTTAGAGTTTGGACCCCTTATGGTGCTTTTCCAACACATGGTACAGCTCGACTTGCCTCTATTTGCTTTTCGTACCAGCTACTTTGTTGTCCACTGCAGATATAGTATCCCCTCATTGTAGCTGGCAGTCACAGCAACAGCATATGAAACCGCTGTGACATGAAGGAGCATAAAATACTGCTGGAAAAAAAAGAATTGGCAAATACTACATCAGTTCAGACAACAAGATGATTCTGGTTGCTCAGAGGTGATGGTACACTAGAAGGTACGCTAACCTGGCAACTAACATTAGCATATGTCTTTAAAGTAATAGTGACGATTCTTTCAGTAGTCTGCAATTTTCCATTGTCACCTTTTGGTATTGGCTCAACTCGTTTGGAACCTTAACGGAGGCGATACCAAAAATAGTACAGAAAACCATAAAGCCGAGCAGAATAGAGTCAAGCTGGTACCATGCAGTGGAAAAGCAGTTTTAGTTCAAAGTTTTTGTGCAAAGAACAATTTAGGCATAAAATGGTTCTATATAGAACTTATGGTTCTACCTATTTGAGTCACACTACCTATAATAATTAATAATAACTTTGTCTGATTAATACAGGTTGGGGTTAAGAAGGGCAATAAAAGCTGTTAATAAAAATGTGCCTAAATGTTATTTATTGGCTTTTAAATTCAGGTTTTTATTAATATTTTCACTTAATCCTCCAGAGATGATGCTGAGGCAGCTTGACACAGGAGAATTAAGGAAAAGCAGAAGTATAACTGCACTGATGTGAGGTGAGCAAAGAAACCAGTTGCTTGTCTATTGTTTTTGCATTGTGGCAAATAACTAGTCTTGTTCAAAACAAAGAGCACTGCCTATGAGTCTAAATTATGTATTAAGGACTAATAATAATAATAAGGATATACATTTTGGATCTTATCTCCCCATTGTTGAAATGAGATGTTTGGAGCCCACGGCTCCCAAACATAACATCTGGTTTATTCCATCGTCACGGGTGATGGCAACAGTCCACTGACCGCTGTGGTATGCTAATGTTGCCTCTCAACCGTCTAACATCATAATGTAAACGCTGCATTACAGACAAACATTCTGTTACAGTCCCATTTGTGTTTCTTTGGTAAATCACACAAGCAACAACTAGGGAGGCATGAAAATATCAGTCTTCTTGGTATCACAGATAATTGCTTAAAAGCAATTAGCAGCATTGGACAGATGTTTAGATTTGAAATAATTGTTATACTTCTCCATAATGCTAATAAAATAACTGATATCAGCTCAAAATTGACATTTCAGTGCAGCCCTAAAACATTTCATTTTTAAGCTTTCTCTTTACACCAACACTCATAACATTAATAACATCCATCATATTTGTTTAAAAAAAAAAAATTAACAAGCAGAATAAATGCAGCTGCTGATTCACCTCAGCAGCACTGGTCACTCTGTCTGAAAGGGCTTGTTCACCCTGCCTCACTAGTCTGAGTTCAAATGTCTGGAAGCACTGCCATGTTAAAATACGTGTTAAAAACACACACACACATATATATATATATAGTGGACTAACAGAATGTTCAGTGGACTAAAATTAAGCCATGTACATTTGAGGACTCACTTTTCTGATGATTTGTCTATTAAGCGCTCTGGTGTGCGCAGGATAGACCGTTCAGGGGAAAGTGGGCGGGGACTGAGAGAGGCACTGAGGGGTGAAGAGCTACGCAGCGAAGAGAAAGAAACACCCTGTCTGCGCATCTCCTGGACTGCTCTCTCCCTGAGAGAGAGAGAGAGAGAGAGAGAGAGAGAGAGAGAGAGAGAGAGAGAGAGAGAGAGAGAGAGAGAGAGAGAGAGAGAGAGAGAGAGAGAGAGAATATGTTGAAATAACGACATTAAGATGTGGCCAAAAACATTTTGTTCTTGAGTACTGACTGGCTCACCTCTCAAAGCGTTCCGTTGTCAGCTGCCTCTTCAGCACATCCATCTCTGTCTGGAGCTGAGAGACTTTTCCTCGCAGCTGAGAAACTTCTCTAGCATGACTCGCCCTAATTAAACACACACTTTCAGCAAGAACCCATCAACAGCTGACAATGCCTACTAGACATTAGAGCTGCACAATTATTGATTAAATGGGACATAGGATTTTTGTCTTAGAATTGAGATTACAAATCTCAAATATGATTCTTATATACAATATACAATATATTATATTATGTATATTATATACACATATGTATACGTAATATATGTAAATTCTTACATAGTAAAAAAAGATACAGTTATCACAAACACAAACAAACTGATAAATAACATGCCTTAAAGTACAATTTGAAAATTAATAAATAACAGCTAAACAAAGGCCCTCTCAGACCTCAAGCTGGGCGTCACAAGCTACACACATAAGTGTAGTTAAAGGCATCAACATATTTGCATTCATTATCAAAAAAACTCTTCAAACTCAGTTTCTTCCTCCCTGCCTCTTACGTTTTGCTGTCTGCAAGGGCCAGGCGGTCTTTGAGCACTTTCAGTTCTGATTCCTTCTCGCTTGCGCTGAGGTGGCTCTGGAACTCTTTCTGCCGGTTCGTGGACAACAGCGTCTCGAGATTCCGCACAGTCGCCTTCTCACTGGCCAGCTGTTTCTTCAAAAGCTCTGTCTCTGACCGCACATCCTCCAGCTCACCAGTCACCTGACGTTAAGGGCGACAGGGGCAAATTTTTGTGAGGTGCCTGTTTCATTTGATGGGCCAAGCTGCCTGGTACTGTTGAGCAAGTTTTGTTCATCAGGAAAGTGAATGTTTGTTGTGATAAAAATGTTCTGGCATATGCAAGTGCTATTTCTGAGTAAGAGTAAATTTTAAGTGTGTGCATGTGTGTAAACACTGCTTCTCACTCACCCTCTCTAGTTCCATGCTCTTGGCAGTTAGCTGCCGTGAAATCAGCTCTTTGCTGGAGTCCAGTTTGACGCAGAGCTCTCGCACAGAGGCAAGATCAGCTAACACTGAGGTTTTCTCCACCCGAGCTGTCTGCAGTTCCTCCTCCAACCGAGACATTGTCCGTGCCAGTGAGGATACCTGAGCCTCATAGGCCTGCAGCGCATTCATGTGCTACACATAAAAACAAGAAGAGAACACCGAGAACTGCAACAGTGATTTCATAATGAATACAATACAAACATTTATATGTGAAGACTGATGAAGACCAAACTGGCTTCAATCAGTTAAGATTTGTTTTTTATGCTCGTTGTCTTGTATAATTGTGTCACTTTTTCCTAACTCACTGCACAATGTAGTGCTGAAGGCAATATGCAGTGTCCTGCAAATGTTTATGTACACGGCAAGTCGTGAATTAACATATTTGCTGTAAAAGTTTTGATTCAGAAAGATCTAGTCAGATCTAGCTGTTAGCAAGCAGGTTAACTCATCTCCCACAAACAGTAATGCACAAAAGTAAAGACAATAAACCCTCCCGACTGACTGGGTATCATGCAGTCTCCCTTTCATGTGTTTATTTATAGCCAGTGGGACAGAAATGTTAAAAGTTATGTGCTTTGACACTGGTTAAATTAGCTTTTCTCCATTTTGGACATTCAAATCCACTAGATGAGCGGCCCTTTCAGAGCTCAACGTAGCCAAAGCAGTAGCAATATGTATCAAAGACACAAATTTGTATGTTAAAGTTGTATTTGAATGAAACAACAGAACAAGACAAGATATCCAGGATTCTTTTTTATCAACTTTTATCAACTGTTTTTAGAAACATGCAATTAATGCCTGCAACACATTCCAAAAAAGTTGGGACAGGGACAATTTAAGACTAGGAACACTGTAAAAACACTTTAAACAGCTGATATAATCATGCTAATATATATATATATATATATATATATTATAAGGACCATCAAAGAAAGGTCTAGTCCTTTATGTGCAAGGACGGGTTGAGGCTTGCCACTTTGCCAAAAAAAAAAAAGCATTAAAAAAACCCAACGGTGAATCCATGAGTAGGTATTTCACCATCTACAGTGCCTAATATCATCAAAAGATACCACATAGACTCAGGAATACTCTGACAGCCACTGCCAATAAACACCGTCTGTCTCTGCATCCACAAGTTTAGACTGTACTATGCACAGTCTAGGTCACATGTCAATGATGTCCAGAAATGCTGCCGACTTCTCCAGGCTCAAGCCTGATGCACAGTGTAAACGTGTACTGTTTTCTGACTGTGTCCGAGTCCACCTTTCAGAATATCAATGGAAATAGTGGATGTTGTGACCTCTGGGCCAAATAAGAAAAGGACCATCCAGATTGTTATTAGCGTTAGGTTCAAACACCAGTGTCCTTCATAGTACGGACATTTGTGAAGGCACCATTTTGGGGTAACATACGCTGCCTTTTAGATGCTGTCTTTTTCAGGGACACTTATATGTTTAATATGTTTATTATTTCAACATGATAACATCAAACCACATTCTGCACGTCATTCTGCATAAACCAGACTGCAGGTGCTAGACTCTCCCCAGTTAAAGATGTGACACACTATAAAGCTCAAAGTTCTACAAACAACTTGTATAACTGAAGAATGGCAAAAAAAAGGCTTTCAAAACAGTTTGTGTTTTCGGTCCTCAAACGACTCTTAAGTTCTGTTAAAAGGTTTTGTAACACAGCAGTAAACATGGTCCTTTCCCGATTTTTTAGGAATATGCTGCAGGCATCGAATTTGGATGAGCATATATTTACAAAAAGTTTATAAGATGATGCATCAAATAATGTGTTTTTTGTACAATATTCAATTTAATACATGTGAAATAGAATTTGCTAATTACTACTTTCTGTTTTTATTAGCATTTCACATACTGTCCAAACTTTTTTTGAATGAGGCTTGTAATCTTTGCATAAATATGGCTCTCCACAACCTGAGTTTAACACCCCTAAGTCAGTCTTAAAACACATGCAGGCATTTTAATTCAGTCTCTTAGCTAATTTGCCTTTACTTAACCTTACCTCCTGTATCTCTCGCTCCTGCAGCGAAACTCTTTCTCTGAGGTGTCTGCGCTCTGTGTCAGAGGACAGCAGCTCCAGTTTGATAGAGTTGTTGAGGCCCTCAGCCTGCTGCAGTTTCAGTTCACGCTCCTCAGCGTCCGAGTGCGCCATGCGAAAGCGCTCCAACATCTCCCTGTTCTCCTGTTCCTGTAGCAAAGCAAACATATCACAAACACTTATATCTGCCCAATATAGTTTCTGACCCAGTATGCTTATCACTGATATGTTATTAACATATTCTATTTTTGCTGCCAATGCGGAAAAACATAGGTGTTACATGACAAAAGAATGTGTACAATTTCATCTTAATCTAGCCCAGGTTTCCTGGTATGAGACTGGTATGAGGAATCATTGGTAGATAGTAAAGCTAGTATGATTTGCCCCAGTTTCTAGTCAACTGAATAGGCAGCATAATTGAGTCGGAATTTAAGTCAGTACTTTCTCCTAGCAAGCAAAAATTCCCAGAGAGGCAGTGAGATGATTAATTCTATCTTGGGCAACCATTCAGACTCACTATACCAATGCCAGAGCAATTTTGCTAAAACCACACATCATAGTGTAACAAAATGCAAAACTTAAAATGCTCTTTTACCTTAGCTGCCATCATTTTTTCTATCTTGGCCACCTCAGAGATGTAGGAGTGAACTCTCATCTTCAGCTCGTCCCTCTCTCTCAAAGCCTCTTCCATCTCTGCATGCACTGCCTGTATACAGCAGCACACATAAACAGATACATGTAAATATGACTCACGCTGGTCACAGACATGGCTAGATTATCTGCACACGTTTAACCATTCATTGTGTGCGCATGTGTGTGAGTGTACCTGGTTTTCTCTGGTCATGGTGGCCAGATCATCCTGTAGTCGTCGGTTTTCTCTCAGTGCCATCTCTCGGTCATGGCTGACTGATGAAAGCTCCTCATGCGATTGGTCTAGCTGTCTGCGCAGACTAGTAATCTCCCGCTCACGACTGCTCAGCACCCCTTTCAGCTGGCTACAACAAACGTAAATCACAGAGTCATTACTTGTTGGTAGATTTCAGACATAATGTGTGTCTTGTAAATTTGTAATAAACAGAGGAGATCACAAAACAATGCCAAATGAGAAATACAAAATATCTTATAACCAAATTATTTAAAACAACACTCACTCTAAAGAGTTCTCCATCTCTGTAACTGTGAGTCTGACTTCTGTCAGTGTCTTCTCCTGCAGAAAGGCATTAACTATGAGAACGTTGCAAATGAAAACCTCCAACCTCCGCGTTTTAGCTTGTACCCTTCTTCAAAACAGACTTTAAGTACAAGTTATTTATTTTCAGTGTCAGCAGGAAACATAATAACAGAAAATCACAAAAAGCATCCAACACTAAGTATATCAAATCTATCAGCATTTCATTTTCCCCCTCATTATTTTTTTGTACCCTACTGCAGCTTTAACTTCCTTCCAGTCTTGAACATCCTTCCAGTCTTAAAACCAATGAGTTACAACTGTGTCCTGCCAACAAAAGCTGTTCCTAAAGGGGTCACTGACATTCTGTTCCCCATTCAAAAGCTGCAATCTTGCTTCAGATCTGGAAACAAAATCCACAAGTGTTTCTGTCAATCTTTTCACTGTGAGAAGACAACTAAACACTATATGTAGCTAAAAGTATGTGTAGCTGTCAAAATGCAGTTACTAGGAAATAGAAATAGACAAAAAGAAGACACTTGGCACTACAACAGCAAAAATGGACATCTGAGATGTGAGGTAAAGTTTTATGGACTGTTCAGTGTGAATTTGGGTTCTCTTGAATCGTGAAAAGCAGAAAATGCAGCCAGCTTCCCAGACTGAACTTTAGAGGTGTAGAAAAACATCCCTGAGGATTTCTTTGGAAAACTGAAAGCAATTTTCTGTTAAACATGTTTTCTGCTTTTTTCCTGATGCTGAAAATGATTAACCTGTGATTAATGGCCGTTTTGACTGGAAATTCAATTAATGAAGGGTTCTGCCAAGTTTGTTCTTGCTTTTAACATTGTCCAGGAATTTGAGAGGGCAAAGAATCCTCCAATCTCTTCTCCATTTTTTTGGAGACCTGGCAGTTGGCTGTTCATATACTGTATTACTACAGTCACAAAACGTAGTTGAACTGTGACACGGGCTTGTATTAGCTACCTTACTATACAGTTGGTCTTGCAGCAGGACCATGCTCTCAGTCTTTTGGTCCACTGCCTCTTGCAAAGCATCCTTCTCATGGTCCAGAGACGCGATGGCATTCTTCAGCGCTACCACCTCATCGTTCTGAGAGGAGCCATTTCTACTCAGCTCAGCTAAACAGATACACACACACACACCAACGTCAGGTGTGCTACTGATGTTATCAACAGTGTTAAATCTAATGGTTATGTCTACTAAACATATTCATGTCAGACATTAGTGTTGTGAGTGATACAAGAGCTGTAGTGAGATCAGTCTAATTTGTCAAAAAAAACAACACTGAGTTTGCATGTTTTTAGAGTAGGGCTGTCACTATTGTTATAATTGTAAACTACTTTTTATTTTAACGATTAATTCAGTGACCGAGTGTTTTTTTTGTTGTTTAACCCTTCAGACCCCAACAGAATGAGAACACTATTGTGGCCTCCTGATCATTTTTAGAGTTAGTATTCATTGTTATAAACAAAATGTTTTGTCATAATCACAATTACGAGTCGATTTTATTTCAAAGGTGAGTTTCACCTCTTTTATATAAAAACAAATCCAAGGGGAACAAATCAACAAAGAGATGTGGACCCAGGACTGAAGGGAAAACAAGCACTATAACACACACACATTTTCTAAACCGCTCATCCTTCTGGGTCACGGGGGGAGCTGGAGCCTATTTCAGCTGTCACTGGACGGAAGGCAGGATACACCCTGAACAGGTCCAAGCACCATAACAATCTTTGTAATTATAATGTTGAAAGTACATAATATGAATAAGAATTCCTAGAACAGGGATATGAAACAAACTGACCACACAGACTAGCTAACCAAGCATCATCATTCCCTAGCAATTAACCTGATAATGTACTAGGCTACAAAAATCAACACGTAATGCCTGAGTAAGTAAAGGTTCAACACTTATCCAGCCTAATCCAGCGATCACCACCCCTGCACCTGGAGATCTAAGTAAATTTGTTTGGCTCTAATTTCGACTGCTAGTTTTAATACTGGTGTAAATGCTGTTTTAATTAACCCTTCCCCAACCACCTTTCTTTGTATAACCTCCTTATGTTCTTTTTCTTTGGCTTTTACATGCTATTTTTTTTCCACATTTCTTTTTTTCTGTTTAAGCACAAAACGTATCTACATAGTTAAGTTAATTCAATTGGGTATGTGCCTACTAGAAGCCCTCTGGGCTTCCTTGTACTTTCCCTGCACTGTTTTGTTTATTCTCCTGCACCGTTTTGTATATAGTCTTCTGTATTCAAATACTCATTATGTTTGGTCTGTTGTGCATTAAATAAAATAAATTAGTAAAGAAGCTGAGCCTGTCCTCAGTCATTCGTCTGGTCAGTGCAGCTGAGAGACTTAAATTAATAGGAAAGTGGATTTATCTGATACATATAGGCTATGAAATTGGTCCATACAAATTGGTATCAAACAACAAATTAACTCGCTGAGTCATTGATAGTGAACGAGATTTATTTTGGACCCCTGAAGTTATTTGACTTGAGATAAAACATGTAATCAGTAAACCTGCTAAATTACTAACAAAAGCTCACCGCTCAACAAAGATTTAAAGAACATTTACCCTTTTAACTAAGTCATCACTACTATCTAGGTAAGTGTAAATTGTGTCAGACTGTCTAATAGTTTCCCTGATGAGCACGTCTTTATAAAAACCTGCAAATTACTTCATTTATTACTCAAACTATGAACTAAATCATGAAGATGATTCATTATCCATAGACTTTAATCAATGATTTCTTTTCAGTAACCGTGACAGCCCTAGTTTAGAGAGACTGAAAGAAAAAGAGGTGAGTATGGTGAACAAGAAAAAGTGACCTACTTATTTTGTCCTCTAGCTTGTCTATTTGTTGGTGAGCTGCCTGCAATTCACTGGTCTTCACAGACAATCTGTGCTGAATATCAGAGAGCGACCTCTCCATCTGCTCCTGCAGCAGCCTACACACACACACACACACATACACACACACATACACACACACACACTTACTTCACTCTCCATGAATTCCAAACATGTGCACAATACAATCCCTATTCATAAAAAGAAACCCCCCCATGAATAAACAAAAATACATGTAGGCCAGCAGTACCTAAGTGCACTGTTCTCTGCCCTCTGCTGTGCCGTCTCCTCTGCGGTCTGAAGTAGAGCTGCTGAGCGAGCCTTCAGCTCCTCTTCAACAGCCACACGGCTTTCCTTCAATACAGCTACCTGAGTGCGCAGGTCTGTTCGCTCTCTTTCCAGCTACAGTCCATATACATAAAAAACCCACATTTAATATTCATGACTGCACAAATATTCATGCATGGTACACAACTGTGTATAAAGTGATTCTAATATGTTAGAAGTGTGCAGCTTCACGTTTTTCAATTGCTAAGAAGCTGCAAACAAAATAATTAAATAAAAAAAGACATTTTAGATGTGTCCAGAATGATGTTATTACTGCACATTAATTAACATAGTAAACTAAAATGAATCTAACAATTTGAGTTGAAACGGGAGCAAGCCTGCCCCAAACCAAAACTATTCAAAACCACAGGACACTCCGTAATGCAGAAATCTGAATTCATGAAAACTCTCTGTGCTATGCAAACACACACACACACACAATCTCAGGAGTGTTAATGCTGATAGGAGCAGAAGTATTGACAATAAGAACAGCTGTATGAGTGATGAGAGAACTCTACCGTTTGAACAGTGTTCTCCAGCTCCAGTATTCTCATCTCCTCCTGCTCTCTGTCTGTCAGAGCTGAAGTCTGAGCCACCTGCACAAAACACACACATGCAGTGGTCATCAGGCACAGGGAAAAATTTCCCACATGCAACTTAAACCTCAGGCAGGTGGACAGTTAGCAGTTTTGTACGGTTCAAACAGCATAACATGTACAGATTGAGGAGGGATTAAAAATTTATTACAAAGGTTTTCTTTTTCATTCATTCAAATGATAAAATCTCTCTTTTGCTTTAATGATGGAAAAACTCGAGCTGTGCAAAATCATCTAAAGAGAAGGACAAATCTGAACACGTGATTCAATGCAGGGCAAAAAAGACAAAAAAAAATCTGATCTTTTTGTATAAAGGCCTTAACATGGTCACTGTCACAAATTTGCTTAAATCTAAAGAGTGAGCTAGAAACTCTGCAGAGTTTTGAATTTCTTCATTTTACTTGTTAGCTTTTCTTTTCTAAAACCTTCTGTTGTGTATTTCCAGGTGTAAATAAAAAAAATCCAGATTTTTAATGTGATCTCAGAATAAATGAATAACCCACATCTCACCACAAACAAACAGACAGTCAAAGACATGCACACACCTTGAGTCTCTCACGGAGAGAATCTCTTTCTGTGGTCATTTTGTGGAGTTCATTATCTGTCTGCTTTCTCTCCTCTCTCATTCTCTGCTGCAGCTCAGGAGAAAATATCAGCTCCCTACGAACACTCTTCAGATCGTCTTGGGCCTACACACACACACGCATGCACGCATGCACACGCGCACACACACACACACACACACACACAGTGAAGTAAACAGACACATTACATAAACAGCGTTCTTTCTGAGAAGTTATTTTATACACTTTCAAGTAACTTGATGTTACTCAAATAGCACTGGAACTGACAAGCTATGCCCATATTTAGAAATATATCTTCAGTCTTTTTTGGAAAGCATATACACAGGCACTCTGTGTTTGCTACATTCTCACTCAGGGGAAGCAGTTTAGTGCAGTCTGTCACCTGTTGATACTGAGTGCTGAGCTGGTCTCTCTCAGCAGTCAGCAGTTTGACTTTAGTCTGGATGTCCTCCATGTGTTTCTCAAAGCCCAGCAGCATGGCTTGCAGCTCATCTCTCTCCCTGACAACACGTGACAGCTCAGTATCTGCACTGTCTCTCTGCATACAAACAGAACACAGGTTAGAACAGGGAGGGAACACTTGTCTATGTTTACAAAGAATAAGTGAGTTCATTTGAAACTCAGGTGACTGCATCCACAGTCAGTCCACTGGCACCCTTGGTAAAGATTATTTTATACATTAAAGTTCTTGAAAGGATATCAGGTAAACCATGGAGAAGGAAAAAAAGGAAAATACAAAAAAGGGATTTCAGCTAAAATTAATCTAGAACTGTAGCTGCTACACAAACTTATATCTTCACTGTTTCTGTAACCAACATCAGCCTAGCCTACTTAGCAATAAAAGCTGCGCTATCTCTGCTTCTCAGTCACATGCCAATCATTAACAACGCGTCCTTAGCAACATTCCCAAGTTAAGGCACTCGCGTTTGATAGTATCAAAGTATAACATAACATACATACTTACAAACAAGAGCAAAACCTTCATGTTTTAGAATTGTTTAAACATAAAATGGCATTTCTCTGAATTGCCAGACTGTGTATTTTTTCTTCCCATCAAGAAACATAACAAATACCTGAATCATGATTTTGGTATTCGAATAGAGGCACCTCAGTAGGTTAATTAAGTAACTGAGTACCCATCACATTCCTAGTACAGATGAGTATGAAAAAAAGAAAAAAAAGGTCTTTTGAGATTAATCAGCTCACACTGAAAATATGACAAAACTTTAACTGAAGTAAACTGGTACAAGAAAATAAAAAGTAAAGTAAAAGAAACCAAAATCCACATCAAGCAAAGCCACGGGTCACAATTATGAATAAAATGTAACTGAAGCATACTCCTATTTATTTTTCACTTCAAAAGAGAGTTTTCAGAGACTCATCAGTCATCAAGGTCTTCCTGTTTCACTGGGTGAGACTAAACTAATAACCTTTTTTCCACTTCTTTATTAAGGGTGGCAATACTTATGGAGCAGACTGTGTTACGTAACAGTCATAATGTATTTTTCTCAGAATTTTAGATATAATTATATTAAATAACTATTTTTATTTCAGTGATGTCGTGTATCATGAATGCTTGACATCATGAAGGCAGACAGTCAATGGAAAAATAGATATTCCATTATTTCCATCAGATCAGCGACAGAAAATCCACCACCAGCAGCAGCAGCAGTCAGGGGACAGTCAACAGTCAGTGGAATATTCCATCCGTCTCTTTTTCTCAAACTTTTGCCATGAACCACGCTGTTGGAATATTTTTTGGGAGTTATGGATGTCTCAACGTTGAGGTCTGGATGAACCAGTATCATAAAATAAAAACTTTAAAAGAGTGCACAGCATCATCCTCCTGCCTTTTTTCCCCACCTTGAATAAATAATCTCCACTTCTAAAGCTCTCATCTGATAATACAGGTATTTTTGCTGATGATGCGGTTACCATGGCAATGTTTTCATGGCTGATTTCATGACCTAATTTTTTTCAACAGCAACATGTAATTGCAGCATGAGGCTTTGTTTTTGTGTGCATCAACATAGGGTCTCACCGAGGCTTGCCAATTCCCTCGACCTTTAGGACTTCTGCCCCTGGACGGACTCGGGATGGGACTTCTGTCTGATCCTCCCCTTGTTTTACGGTATCTCTCTGCCTCCTGTCTGTAGTGATCCCTTTCTTCCTCCAAACTTCTTACAAAAGCATCCAGTCGAGATGGGGAGCGCTCTTTGCCACACATTCCATGCCGAACACGCATGCGCTCTAGCTCCAGAATCATTTCCTTATCTGAGACAAACAAATACACAGAGTACAACAGAGAAAAAATGATGTACATTGTCTATGTGCATCTAATCCCTGCTTAGGCTTGCATACATAATTACATTACAATTACATGCATAAAGTCAACAATAACAATAATGCTGTTCACAATTACTCGGTTAAATCCAAAACTCAATGCGAATTTTATTTTAACGCAGGTTTTTTTTTTTACGGAATCTATGAAAGGCTATGCACTAGTTTGTTACTCTTCACTTAAGCCAATTTCTAGTGTTTATCATTTCTTTAAATCTGATTGTTTAGCTGACTGTGAAAATAATTCAATCAAGAGCTATAGCAATAGTAACAGATGATCTTTTTCACCACTTATAATACTGTATCTTACTCTACACAACCTTCAAAGAAATAAAAGTAATGCATTTTACCAGCTTGTGTCATTTTCTCTACTTTATCCTGTAGCCTCTTCTTTTCCTCCTCCAGGAAATTCAGCAATCCCTCCATTTTATCGTTCTGCTCCTGCATTTCTGCCAGTTGATCCCGCAGACGGTCCTTCTCATGATCACCTTCTGCCATGTCCTAGAACAGCCAATCATAAGCTCTAAGCTCTTCACAGACACCAATCAAGTCACGTGAAGGTCTAATCAGCAACTTTAAATAGCAAACCAGAGGTCAAGTGATACAGCCAATCAGAAAATAAGACTCCGCCAGTCATTGCCAAAAGTCCCTGTCAGGGGGTTAAGCCAAATAATTCTCTACAAAATGCAAGACAGCTCGATGTTGCCAACAGAGGGCAGTATAAACACAAAGATGTGCCCTCAGATCAGTCTTGCTACTGTGTGACAAAGGGAACAAATTCCATTCAGCTCAAAAAAATAATAATAATAATTCATCTGATGCACAAAGGCAACACTTCAATTTCTCTGCTCCATTAACCGCTTTCGACTGTGTTTGTAATGTAAATCCATAAGGACCTTGATTCTGTATCGATAATAATTTCATATTGATGCAGCCATGTTGGGCTTGTTTAATAAGAGAAAAACAGAAATGCTGTGGATATGGCTCGACAACCAAAAATACCATAGATCATGGTCACAAACTGAAATAATCATGAAAAAAGAGGCAGACCAAAAGCATTTTCATGAGTAAACTAATGTGCAGTATTTCTTTATTTTCTACATATGTAAAACTATGCCCGTGTGAAATCCACATAAGTCACCTAAAAATTATGAGGACCGAAAACATTCATTAAGTAGTTCATATTTTGTCAAGATCTGTACAGCTAGTATGCTGCACAGCAGCAGATGGCTAATTTCACAGCCCATTTCACGTGACGGTATTGTAGACAGAAAAAACTACAGGAGCCCAGCAGTACGTACCCGTCTTAATTTAGAGATAACCTCCTCCAGGTCCTCCGTTTGTCTGTGTAGCCGCTGAATCTCCTTCTAAAAAAGAGACGTGGGTAGTGTAAATAGAGCTACAACAAGCTAACTGTAGTCTAACCTCCAACTATCACTTGATTCAATCTATAGCTAAGACTTGATTAACCTGTTTAAAAGGAGAATTTTACCATTTTTAAAATGTCTGCACAATTTAATTGTTGAGATGTGAACAAAGTCATTCCAAGTGGTTTGATGTGAAGTTGGTCATTGTGGAGAAACTTAATGACATTAATGTCTTCTACTGTAAGACAACATTTCAGGCATTAAGCAGCATGTTCCTTACCCTTTCATATGATATCTTTCTGCCAGGCAGCTTTCAAAAGCATTTAATATTTCAGACGTCTGGTTCCTATCACCACCACAGTGGAACAATTCTGATTCATTTTTCTAGAATGATGCATTTCACATCAAACTGAATAACTCTGTTTACATGTTAATGTTTTAACTAACATGTATTAACAGCAACTGCGAGAATTACCCTTTAACAAAATTGAAGCTCATGAACTTTTGTCTCTATGCAATCGCACCAACTGAGCATTCTCTGATGGGAGAACGACAAGGGAGATGCCATTTCCAAGAATCAGCAATACAAGATCTAAATGTAGACAACAAAAGATGCTCATCCAGACACAAATAAATAATGTTGCTCAGTATTGACTGGCAACTGGTCAGTTTTCACAAAGTTTAGGAATAACTGACTTAAACACTACGTTCTCGTGTCAATCAGTTTCCTTCAAAAGCTAACTGTGCTCATTCCCCTCCTCTCTCTCCTCACCTTAGCCTCCTGAAGCTCCATGTCAGCAGTCTCCAGCACCATCTCTTTGTCTTTCTCTAACTGCTGCGCTAGCTGGTCTATCTGGGTGAGCTCGTGGCACAGCTCCTGATTCCTGGCACTCAGGTCTGCCATTTCACTTGAAACAGTCTTCTTCCTGTGGTGCAGTCCCTCTATCTTCTGCTCCAGAGCCCTGTTTGTCTCCTGCAAGTACTCAATCTGACAAAAAGGTCAACAAGAGCAGGATATCAAAACGAGGTACGAGTCAATAAAGTAATTTTCACAAAAGAGGGAGGCCTAAAAAAACTAAACATCCAAATAATATCTTTAAATTCAAGATAAATCTTCCAGATAATCCAAAGTAATGGGACACTGTGCTTTGCTTTGTCTGCAAGTGAACCATGTTCATCGCATCCAGCTTTGATTTAAAAAAATAGCATTTATTAACATGCAAATATTCACCTGTAGGTTCAGGTGAGCAACGAGCTTTTCACTACTGATGTTTTGAGCCTCCAGAGAGATGACATCATACGGTCGACCTCCATCCAGAGCCCGATTCAGACGCTCAATCTCTTTATCTCGCTCCTCCACCTGGAAAAATGTAAATTTGATAGCACGCAATTTTCAAAATATTCTTGGCTGCGTGGCATTCATTTTTGGTTTCTGGTGCCATTATTTTCAGTTTCATGTACAATGTCCTCATGTCTAGTGTTTCTTAAGACCCTTTTACACTCAAAACTTACTGGTATATTTTACTAATAATGTTCCGGCTTTGTGTCATCCAAGCCCCTTTCAAACACTTTTAAGAGGTAATTTAACAGAAATTAAACAGGAAGAGGTTTGGGTGCATTTTTGTTTTGGTGATGTATTTTTTACAGAAAGGATTTGAGCCTTTCGGGTGACTAATTTCTAGTGTTTGCTAGCATTGTTAGGCTTGCTGCTCCAGTTCGAAACTAAAGAGGCAAAATTTGGATTCCAAACATGTCTCAGGTTGTTCATCTCCATCTGTGGTAAGTGGGAAATTGCATAAATTAGATTTTTGGCCAAACTATTCCTTTAAACGTGAATGCAAGCCAGAGTCAAAATCCTGGTAAAGTTGACAGCAAATTAGTTGCATGAGACCTAGGAAATTACTAGGAGGGATCAGGTGTGAACAGAAGCTGATACATTACTGAGAAATACATCTTGTTTAGTCCAGTTTAGTAAATAAAAACAGTTTACTTTTTGTACATGATTCTACAGAGAAGTGGCAAAATCTATCCTGCATTTATGCATGGCTGCTTCTGTGCAAAAGCAGCGCACGCCAACAAAGCAAAACGTTTCCATTGTTAGGAGCCGTTTCCGTTGTTAAAGGAGCTGTTTATGCTAAGAATGTTTATGCTAACTATGTTTACCTTTTTTTTTGGCATGCGTGAACATTTGTGTCATGGTAAAATGCTGTTTAAGGGCCGTATATGTTATAGATTCATTATATATTTATTAAATTATTATTAATTTAATTAAATTTATACTATTTATTAAATTTATATATTATATATATTTATTAAAGCCTCTTCTTTGCAGAGAGGCAGGGCACTCTAAGAAAATATTTTACACAAAAAAAACTTTTGTTTATTTGTTTGTTTTTTGTAATCAATCCCAGTGCATTACTACAAACATTATACACAGCATACATAAACTCGTACGACTATGTAGTTTCAATGGTCATTTTAGACAGTAAATGAAATGGCCATATTTGCGTTGTAGACATTATAACCCCTAACGTTAGATCCTTTCACCATCATTGAAAGGAAATCTTTTTGGTAAGTTTCAGTGCACAATTTCACACCAAATCACTCAAAGCAAACGTTTCCATTGTTAGGAGCTGTTTCCGTTGTTAAAAGAGCTGTTGGCTATTTATGCTAAGAATGTCACTATGTTTACCTTTTTTAGGCATTTGTGGACATTTGTGTCATGGTAAAATGCTGTTTAATGGGTTTCTATGTTATAGATGTATATTATTAAAGCAGAGGTATTGACACTTTATTTTGTTGCAAAATAAAAGAAGCTGTCAAAGGAAAGGTAGTGATTACTTTGGCAAGATGCGCACACAGACACACACACACACCTGTGTGTTGAGGTGTTTGATTCCACCCTGGGCTCTCTCAAGATCCAACTTCACTGCCGTCACCTCTTGCTGCAGCTCCTGAATCCTAAAACAAATAATAGTGGGTTATTCTACACAGCTGTTACAGCTAATCATACACTTAACGTTTGTCTAAAAGCACAAATGTGAAGGAAAAAAATCTGACTTGAGCATTAGTCTTTTTTGTCTAATCATACCTGTCATCAGCCACCTGGAGGAGGTCGGCAATGTATGGGTCATCCGGCTGAGCCACAGCTGGAGGGGTGGGGCCAAGGGAGGGGGGGAGGAGATCATCTATTTGCATCCGTTGGCGTCTGAAAGGAATTGGCCTTTTCTTTCCTCCTGTTAAATCAAACTGAATATTATCAAGAGCTTCTGAAACTGTATAATTACAGCAATAAAACTGTATCATATATCAGACAGTGCTGCATGATCAGATTGATCATTTCAACATGGACCGAAATTGTATTACGAGTAAACCGAGTTTACCTACCTGGTGTCTGCACTACAGCTTGCATGTTCTTCTCTTGTAGCTGTTGGATGCGTTCACTTTTGGCTTTGCTGTCTTTCTCCAGGGCACGAACTTTGTGTACATACTGATTGTTGAGGAATTTTAGGTCTGATGTCTCGTGGTCCAGTTTCCTGATGTAAGCCTTCAGCTCTGATAACAAAGCAAATTACTTTGGGAAAATATGGTTGGGGTTTTACATAATATATAATGCAGAAAGAGAAAAAACAGGGTTCATTAGTGTTGTTTAGTGTTTTAAGCCAGGACACAGCTGTTCATAATCTAAGGCCACCTGCTTACCTCTAGTTGTCCGATCCTTGTCTTCCTTCAGCTTGAGAAGTCCCAAGTGCAGCTCATTATTCTCTCGGACCAGCCGAGCGTTCTCCGTCTTATATGGCTCCAACAGAGCATCAAGATTCCGACTCTCCTTCTCTGTCTTCCCAGCTGATAGTTTGGCATTCCGAAGACTTTCAGTGGTGTGGACTAGATCACTGGAAAGACAGTTTCACAAGCTTCTAACTTTAGAAACAGCCAGAGTTAAACACTGAAAACGTCATTGCTAGCATGAAAGTCATAGGGCGCATTACTGACTGCTTCACTTGATCAAAGATTCTAACAAAAACTTACCTAAAAAGTTTTTCAACCAGCGGCAACGACTCGATGCCTAACGGCTGCCTGTAACCCAGCTGATCCAGACGCTTTCGCAGATTAATAAATTTTCTCTCCGCATTAGTACTCATGGTTGCACTCTGGACAAAGCTCTGCAGAAGATCACTTTGTTTGTTAATGACAACAAGGCTTAAAATACAATACAGTTAAGTCTCATGCATTTATGCTAGTAATACTGAGTTATCATTATATTTACCCCAAGCCCCCAGCTAAAGTCAGCTTTAAGTAAAATCTATGCCAAACATAAAGTCCACAAGAAGACACAAACACAGCCACAGTCTGCTTAAAGGGGAATTCTACCAAATTTTCTAAATATGTAAACAGTCAGAGTGGTTTGATGTGAAATACCTCATTCTGGAAAAGGTTACTGAGTCCGAATTGTTCACAACAGTGCTGACAGGAACCAGGTGTCTGGTTGTGTGTAAAGGCACATTACATGACATGGTTACAAATACGTTGTAGGATGCCACATTTCACAATAGTTTTCAGATACTTTTTGGTCTAAAACAGATTCATGTCAGAGAGGCAGGGCACTCTAAGAAAATATATTACACACAGAAATTGTTTTGTTTGTTTTTTTGTTTTTGTTTTTTTTGTAATCAATACTGCATGACTACAAACATTATACACAGCATACATAAACTCGTAAGACTATGTAGGTTCAATGATCGTTTCAGACAGTAAATGAAATGGCCATATTTGCGTTGTAGACATTATAACCCCTAGATCCTTTCACCATCATTGAAAGGATGTCTTTTTGCTAAGTTTCAGTGCACAATTTCACACCAAATCACTCTCAGTGACTGTCTACATCGCATCGACTGAATAACTAACTACATAACACACAAGTTTTCTCGGGGTTGGTTAACTCTAGCTACGGTTATCTGCTTTATCTGATTAACCTGTCAGTCAGATGCACCGTGTAAGCAAATAATAGAGCAAATCGATTGATTACGCTAACAGCTGACCAGAACAACGTTAACGTTTCATCAAATCACTTATGTTAGCTAGGTTACTTACCCAACAGCTTGCATTCGTTGTCGTGTCCGTATACAGCGTAACTACGGTTATGTGCCAGCAGAGCAGCTACACAGACCACAAGCCGGCCGCACAGCTAACGTTAGTCAAAGCAGTCATTACCATTAGCCTCTTAGCTCGGCTGTTTACAGTGACTTAACGTCACAGCAACCAGCACAACACGGACAGACAGACATTCTCTGGAGAAATACTCAGCGAAATATCTAACGCTGTGAATGTGAATTTAAAACGGTCTTCTCAAAACTAGCTAACCACACTAGGCTAGTAAACACACGTAGTTTTCTAGTTAGCTGGCTAATCTGTGCCGTAGTGGTTGGTTTCCTCCTCACTCCGTGTAGACTGTCCGTCTTCCGGTGGCGCTAAAGCTGTTTGAAAACGGCGCCGAAGAGAAAACAGCATCTCCATAGAAACGCAGCAGCGGAGGCGAAATAGCGCCACCTCGTGAAAACAAACAAAGAAAGACTGTTATTTTAGGACCAGACCGGCACACACGTCTAAACGCGCTGCAGTAACAGCCTCTGCTCTTTTGGGAAGGCTTTACACTACATGTTGCAACATTGCTGTGAGAATTTGATTGTATTCAGCCACAAAAACATTAGTGGGGTCAGGTACTGATGTTGGATGATGAGTTGTGGATCACAAACGCCTCTCCAGCTCATCTCAGGGACATTTGGATGGAGCTCCATCACTACTCATTTCATGCTTAAACGGTTCTAGGCATGGTGACATGGCTCTTCAGATTGATGAAGAATGTGTTGGATGTTTTGAAACTGGTTCTTACGGAGCCCCGATGGTGACATCCTGTATAAATAAAAATAATACGTGGCCACGACTTAGTAAGGTGTGGGAATGAGATGATTAAGTCATGGCCACGACTTAGTAAAGCGTGGGAACAAGATCCTAATGCGTGGCCACGACTTAGTAAGCTGTGATCTCGTTCCCACGCCTTACTGAGCCATGGCCACGACTTAATCATCTCATTCCCACGCCTTACTTAGTCGCCTTACTTAGTTGCATTATTTTTATTTATACAGGATGTCATCATCAGGGCTCCACAGATTCTATATAGCACCATAGAAGGTTCTTCTACTGTTACAAGCTTGATAAAGTAACAATAGCAGAACTTTTTTGCTGCTATATAGAACCCTTTTCAAAAAGGTTCTAAATAGAACCATATCCCACACATCCTCCATCATTCTAAAGAACCATTTCACCATGCACAGAACCATTTAAGCATAGAATGGTTAAAGAACCCTTGAGGAACCATGGTTTTTAAGAGTGCTAGCTGACGCTTGGCATTGGGCATGGTGGCTTTCTCCTCATGTGCAGCTGCTCCAGAGCGTTCATTCTGTTGGTAAAGCTTTTCTACGGAGACTCCATTTTAGCATCTGCATAAACAACGAGTGCACCTTGAAAAAGTAGCTGAATTCAGTAATTAGAGCAGTGCCTGTAGATGTTTGGACATATGTCTGATTTAACCATTGAGGATGAATAACAGGGAGAAGAGGTGGGCAGATCTGATCCAGCATTCCGGAAATGCTCAGACCGAAGTTTATAGACAAAAAAGTGAAGGCACAGATTGTGTTTTTATCTCGGAATATACCACCACATTACCTTTTTAGAGAAAAAAATTGATAATTCATTAAAAATATGCACACTGGACCAGTCTGGACTTGACTCTGATGGACTTCAACTATGCCATGGTCTGAAGCAGTTACTTAGGGCCCCCAGGGACCCCACAAGTATATAATGATGAAGACATCATAACTTTGCTTCTAAACAATCAAGAACGCTGGCATTGGAAAAAGCATGTTTCAAGTGCCACTTAAATACATATTTATTTGTATTTACTTTATTTATTATTTGTTTGTTCTATTTTCACTGCATATTGTTAGATGTACTTATTGTTATATTATGTTTTAGAGGTACAAACTCAATTCCAAAAAAGCTGAGACAGAATGTGAAATGCCTAATAAAAAATGCAATATTTGCAGTTTTACTATATGAACTATAGTTTTTTTTCTCCAAATTTAAAATTTGATGCCTGCAACATGTTTCAAAAAAGTTGGGGCAGGAACATGTTTACCACTGTGTTACATCACCTTTCCTTTTAACAACAATTAATAAACATTTAGGGACTGAAACACCAACTAGGTTTTGATTATGGATTTTTTTGCCATTGTTCTGTTACACATTCTTCTGTGCAACTGTACAGGCCTTTGTTGTCATATTCTGAGTTTAATAAGACATACATCAACTGGAGACCGGTCTGGACTGCAGGCAGGCCAGTATAACACCTGCACTCTCTGATTACTCAGCCATGCTGTTGTAACACGTGCAGAATGTGGCTTGGTGTTGTCATGTTGAAATCCTTGATGTCCCTGAAAAAGACAGCGTCTAAAAGGCAGCATATGTTGCTCCAAAATGTGTTTGGCGTCAATGTTGCTTTCACAGATGTGCAAGTTATGCTCTAACAACACTCCCATATACCATGACAGACACCAGCTTTTGAACTTTATGCTGGTAACAATCTGCATGATCCTTTTCTTCTTTGGCATGGAGAACACAACATCCAATAATTTCCCTAAACATCTGAAAGGTGCATTGTAGGCCCAAAAAGGTCACATAACCTAAGAAATTTGAGGTAACCTGTTGCCCTAAGAAAATTAGGTTAAACATTAGTGAACAAACCAGCAAGTTAAAGTTCAATGTACTTAAAGTGCTAAACAAATGTTAGAATAACTAAAATGTTTTTGTTCGATTAACATGAACACATGTTTGTACAACTCATAAATTCCAATTATTTTCATCCCAAATCCCAATTTAGTTGTATGTTTTAACTTTAAAGTTGCTGTAAGGCAAAATGGTTCCCAAGAAAACAGCAGATTTAGCACTATTTTACCATCATCAGCATTACATATAAAAACTCACGCCCTGGTTAACTGGTGGTGTTGAACAGCAGTTCCTAAATAAAACGACTCTTGCGTAGACATTACAACCCCTGCTTCTTATCACCACCAAATCAAAGAAAATTGAGTCAGTAAGTTTTTTCTACAGAGCGCCATTCCACATCAACCCACTCAGAATAACTGTTTACTTCTCCTCCTTCGAATTATGAAGGCATTTACAAAAATCAGTAGAATTTCACTTTAAAGGGGAACTCTACCTATTTTTTTCTTTTAAATCAACACAATTCAATGGTTAAGATGTAAGCAAAGTCATTCGGAGTGGTTTGGTGTGAAAGGCTCTGTTCTGAGAGAAACTTGCAGAGTCAGAATTGTTCACAGTGGTAGTGATGGGAACCAGACGTCTCCCTTTAAAAGCTCCCTCACAAAAAGTTGTTATATGAAATTGTTGTGAATATGCCGCCTGATGTCTGATACAATGTTTTTTGATAGTTTTGCCATAAAGTTTTGCCTAAAATGCAGCTATTTTAATCTGTTTATGGCGGAGGGATACATGCAGGCCGTTGTAAGGCAAAATAGTCCCAAAAGAAAACTTTTTTTTTTTTTCAGATTCAGTATTTTACCAGGATCAACAATACATATAAAAACTCAGCAGACGCATGTAGGTTCTCTGGTGATTTTGGGAGGTAAATAAAATGGCTGCATTTCTGTTACAGGCATAGTGACCCCTGGTTCCTATCACCACCACTGTAAAGAAATCTGTGTCTGTAAGTTTCTCTACAAAAAACAACTTCACATCAAACCACTCTGGACGGCTCTGTTTACATCTCAAAGTCTGATTAATTCCGAAAATTCCGGAAAATTGGTGGAATTCCCCTTTAAAGACGAGCAACTTTACTGATGGAAGAGCTCAGACATTAAGAAGAGGAGAAAAAATCCAACATATCGGGCGAACCAGAGACTAATCAACGCCGCATCACAGGAGCTCGAGATAAAGGGCGCCACAACGGCATTAACTTAACATCATCTCCTCTTCCAGGCTTCCCGCCACACCCTCGCGAGGTCACGTGCAGCTGTGCAGCACGCGCAGTCCTCGCGCAGCATCAGCAACACTCACGCACGTACACGCGCGCACACAAAGAGGTCGGAGAGCTGGACGCGAGCCGGAGCTCAAACGGAGCGCTGCGGGACACGACCAAGCGCCTCGTCAGGACACGCGCAGGGAGGTAGGAGCCCTGCTTTCCTCTCCCCTCCACTCACTGCCATTGTTCCAGCGCAGCCGCGGCTCGCTTTGTGTCTGTAATGTTGACCTTGCCGTCAGCTCGCGTTTCTCTCTCTAGGTGAGAGTCCTCCGCCGAGGAAGGCGGCTCGGCTGCGTTTTCCTTCTGAAATGCATGTTATGCTCTATTTTGTGTGGAATGATAGCGTTGACATCATCTTTACTGCTACGTGTGCTGAGAGAAAACGCCTCGCGTTGTCGTCCTCCTCCTCCTCCTCCTTCCCCCCCTCCACCACCATCCCCACCACCATCACCACATCTTTGCCTTCCATTATTAGCCCGTTTTCGAACCGCGTCCGTCTTTTCCTCTTCAGCTTCGAGACGGCGAGACGTCGCGCTGTAATGTTCTGGTCACCCTGCAGCAGTCACGATTGGCGATCATTTGATTAATCGCTCGATTAGCCCCGCGGCTCGTGCGTTTGCCCCTGGAGGGCTGGACTGGTGCAGACAGACAGACAGACACACAGACCGTGCTCTGCTGGGCGGCCTACGACTGCGTTTTCTTTCTTAAGGTATAGCCCACCCACCCCACCACTCTCCCCTAGCACCTGCTATTGTGCCAGCGGGATGCCACAGCTCTTTCACTGCACGCTCATGGCACAGTGTTTGATCTCACAGCACTGGTGCAGTTGATGCACCAGCAGCAGCATGAAAGATCAAGAACTCTCAGAACGGGAAACGTCTAGAATACAGCAGGAAATGCTGTACATTTCGCAGCAGAAGGAGACACTGTAACGTATGACCTCAGGTGTGTGTATGTAGCCGGGCCCACAGCACTGACCCTGATGTACTGAGCTGGTGACACATATGACGTGTGTGTGTAACTGGTTCCTGCAGTTTGAGGTCTTCACCCACAGTGACATGAAAATGGTGGCTTAAAACAATGCGGGGGTAGCCTGGTGGGCAATATGACAGTATTTATTATAATAAATTGTGACATTACATCACAGTTTGAGAATATCATGGACAGTGCTTAAAGAACAGTGACCCAACTGCATGTTTAATTGCAGAGACAGCATAATTAGGCCTGGTTAATTGGGTTTAGTGCAGCGTGTGAGACATTGAATAAAACTCATTGTACTCAAAGTGGAGATGGGCGAAAAATATTGTGTCATGATACTTGAAGATATTTGAAATATCACTGCAGCAGAGATTTTTATT